TCAGAGAAGGAATGACTTTGAGCAACGAATTTGCACTTTCAGCCATAATTGTTGGACGCCATTATCAGAGACAGATGATATTTTCTCCACCGGAGATACTTTGAAATTTTCCCTATTGTAAACACATAGACCACCACCGGGTTTCTGCGGCCGCGATCTTGTCTTAACAAAATGTAGCCCGGAATATGAATGATCGCGTTATCAACAGATTATTCAAGCCACGTCTCCGATATCGTAAAGATATGAAAACTATTTGTGGTGACAGAGTGAGGCAGCAGTATAAAGTGTTCCCTCGACTTCAACGAGCGAATATTTAGATGAGCAATCCTAACATTCAACTTTGTGTTGCTTGGAAAATTGATATTTGCATTCGTCGATGTTTATAACAAGTTAGTGAAAGTTGGTCCTTGTTGTGGATGAATATCGCCGCTCAAAATGTTCTCTAGTATAGAGGGATTGAACGAACTGTACCATTATCTGAATACAGTCGGAATTATGTCATCATTGGAAATTGGTGTTGATTTAGAACGCAAGACTCCAAAAGAGCATGTTTGTTCCTTTTTACAAGTGCGTTTTAATGTAGTGCCACTGGGATTCCATCATGAATTATATCGACTATTAACTTAAACTGTCAATAATTAACTAGCTAATCAGTTGAGCAGCCGTTGTACTTGGAAGCCAAAATCAAGTATCACATCATATCAGCAACGGAGGGATTAAATCACAGTGACATTCTTCTTAAAGTGCTGCTATTCGGCTACAAAATGAAAAGTAATAAGAACGTACAAGATACTTTTGGCAGTTTTTCTTAATTACCCTGCCTTAAGTGTTAGACTCTCAAGATCTGATTGAGAATTCTTCCTTTCAGGTCCCATACTTTTATTTGTAAACGGGTTCAGAGAATTTTGACATTCTGATTGGTCAATAATCAAAGAAACTCACAGATAGCCAATCAAATGCGAGCCTTGGATGTCGCAACAAAATTTGAAAATTTGAAAATTTGCGAGCGAAACAATGGCCGGCGTTTTAAGCAGGTTTTCTTTCGCCACCGCAGCTGAAAAACAGCTCAAACAACGAAAACACTGTAAAAAGCACTGCTTTTTGTTGTCGGTTTGGAAAAAGTGGCGTTTAGAGAAGGGAATTGCCAAGGAAATCGAAAATTATGAACCGACCCAGCTTAATACTTTGCTCTAGCGATCCAACGCCGAAATTAAAAACAAAAATGGTTAAACCTCGGAAACGACGATTCCATTTCATCGAAAGTGATTCGGACACAGACTGAACAATTCCTTGAACTGTTTAGCCGGACTTTGAACTTTTTTTGCCCCTTAGAGATGAGAAGATATCATTGCATATTATTGTTTTGATCGTGCGCGGTTGTTTTGACCGAACGCACGGTTTGAATGACTTATTTTTGCACTTGATGCGCGCGCTTTGCTTATACTTAATTATAATAAGCTCTCTCGTATTTTTTCATGCTTATTATTAACACGTAATCACATGATTTTTCTCGTGCAATTTGGAATAAATAAGCACTTGTTAATTTTTTCAAAGACCACAAATTGCACGAGCCCGTAGGGCGAGTGCAATTTTGTTAATTTATTCGAAATTGCACTCGAAATCATGTAATTGCCTATGCTCGCTCGTAAACTCTGAAAAAAAGTCCATCATCGCCATATTGTAGCTTGTATTTAGTAACCCACTGACCGTCATCATGTCTCCCCTACGTTGCTATGCCTATTAGCCTTGTGGTTTGCTGAAGATCCACTTGCAGCCATTGGTTGGTGTTTTTCACTCCAGTTACCCAGCCAGCACGTTTAAGCGGGTTTTGGGATCCTTTGAAATGTAATTTAGCATTGCATGCGGCAAGGTTAACATTAAACACGGAGGAAGCGGTGATCTGTGAGTCAAAAATAGCACCGCTTTCCATGCCGAGGGGAACTGGGGCTTTTGGTGATTCCGCGCCTGAAATTGAGACAGAGAAATGCAATCGCACAGACATTGATTTGTTCATCATGGAATAAAGGGTTAGTGAGTGAGTTAAATCTCTCCGACTTACAAGTGATGGTCGAAGCTCTATGACAAATGAAAATTCGTACCCAAAACAGTTAAAATTTACTTTGGCACCTTTGGAGTATCCAGAGGTTTTTGAATCACTGGAGTCTATCTTGTTTAATTTCTGGATATGTTTAAATTGCTTCCCATATTGATGACTTAACGCTATCATGTTTTCGCGATGCATTTTGTAGGCACATCAGCATTTGAAATTGTGAATGACGCAGTGAGTGTCCTCGGCTTCTTCAGCAGTTTCTTGTTTCCTTACCCCTTCAGTGCCCAAGATCTCATTATTAAGTCTCCTTACTGTCTGCTATACAATTCTTATGATGCTAGTTAGAGAATTTGGTACTGGATCAACTAGAAAATCCTCAAACTTATCCTTTTCATTATTCTCATCACCTGTCTGATTGATATTGTATGGTTATTGTAAGGAGAAATTCTGTCTTGGTCACTCGTGGGAATTAAAGGCTTGATTTCCACCTTAATTTAGAAGTAACCTAGGAAACAGTTTTCTCAGCAATTTTTTTGACAGTATTCGAGGACTTTCAAGGAAACTGTAAGAATCGAAATGTTCCGTCGGGGAATGTTTGATGTTTGTGAGGGTCCGCGAAGGTTCGCGAAGACGACAGACTCCGCACCTATTGGCGGAGAGACAAGAAGCAGCCGGGACAAGTAACTTATTGTAATCTAAACACGAAGTCGTTGACCTTAATCTCAAGAATACCTTTCAAATCAACGTTACTTACATTTGCAGTTGACGACTTTTAAATCTTCCTTGAAGGCCTGACAGTGGTGCTGAAAACAAAAAATCATTCATTTTTTATTTTATCGGGAAATCAGTTAGTCTTCCGGGTTCATCACCGTATGGAGACTGCACAAGTGAGCTAATTGAAGGCCTTTAGATACATCTTGATAAAAAGGTATTACAAATCGCTGTATTACAAATCAAGATTGACCTGTTTTTTTTTTAAGAGAGCTGGGCGAGAAAGCCAGCTGTGTTTGTAATATAGTAAACCCAGGTAGTTAGTTTATGATTTCTTTGTTTTGACCTCCCTCTGCCGAGTTTTTGCGACTAAATCACCAACATTGTGATGGGCCATCTTGCCCGCTTAGGTAGCCAATCAGAGAACGGGATTCGCTTCACACTGCCCACGGACACTGCCAGCGATATGATAACAAATCTTAGCGACTTCGTCTGATCAAATAAATGATAAGGTAATTTGGTTTCATCAACTGAGTCGATAACGAAAATTTGCAACAGTAAGAGTTTCAAAGCTGACGTTCGAGCGTTAGCCCCTCGTCAAAGCGAGAGACGAGAAACAATGATTATAACTGCACACGGACGATGCATTGATCTGCGAGTCAGTAATAACTACACTTTCCATACCAAGGGGAACTGGGCGTTTTGGTGATTCTTCCTCTGCATTTTGGACAGAGAAACACAATCACACATATTCGCAAGTGTACTACTAATGACTGCAGATGTTTTCAACATTTGAACAGGAATATCAAAATCAGTGCAGTTTAATGTTTCCATTTCCTCTCAAGGATCCTAATTAGAAAAAGTTAACAGATAAGAACTCTCCGTATGTTAAAAGTTTCTGAACTTCAAGTGATGGTACAAGTTCTTAAATGTCATCTCGTACCCCGGACGGTAATTAATGTCGCGGCACCTTCGGAGTATCCAGAGGTTTTTGCATAGAGATTGCATTTTACAATCTCTACATGTTTTTAAGGTTATCGTGTTCAAGTTTTGCAATGCGTTGGCATAGGCACAGACTGCATTTGAAATTATGAATGAGTTTTGATTGGGAAAATACGGATCTTCAACGTCTTAGAGAGCTTCTTATTTTCTTCTTCTTTTTGTTTTGTTCAGAAACGACTCTCGCAGTATTTTTCCCGCGCATTCTTTTCTCTTTTTAAACCACATTCGAGGACTTTGAAGGTACCAGATAAGGTCCAGAACTGGTTCGGGGAGGTTCACCACGATGGGAGACTCCGCACGTATTGACGGGAGGCCTCTTGACACAAAGACAAGAGGCAGCTGAGATGAGTAACTCCTAAGTGATGTAAGTGCAGGATCTTAGACATTAATTTTAAGATTATTTTTCTACTCAGCCCTACTTACATTTGTAGCTGACGACTTTAAAATCTTCCTTGAAAACCTGACAGTTGTGCTGCTCACATATGAAAATATTCATTTTTTTCTATCAGGAAATCAATTAGTCATCTTGGTTAATTATCAAATAGAAATCATCTTTCAAGTATTAGTATAAAGCTAAAAAATTCAGTTTGTTTGTCTCAAATCATGTTTTTTACCTTCATTCAGTCCACAAAATTATTTAAGAAGACCAAATTCAATTACCTCTAACTGCATTTTTCTTCGGAGGATTTTGCAAGTATCATTTCTCCAAAGATACCGAAAATGGTATAAGTCAATATTCGCGGTAACGCCGCTAACTATTCTCCAATCGTGTTTATCAACAGACTGATGAAAACTCGATATTTTACCATAGTATAACATGATAAGGATCAACGGATAGGCACATTACCAAGACAGATAAGACAGATGGTAAATTTGTACTTCTAACGTAGGAAAGATAACTATTTTACCAGAAAGATGTCACGAATAAAACTGAAATAAAATAAAAACTCAGGTCAGAGGATTTCGTGTTCTGATCTTCCACTACCGCCCAACAGAGAATCCATCAGTAAGCTCAGTCCCCTTCTCGTGACAAAGCAAAGATCGTAGCTTTTCCGTCTTCTATTTAGATGTGTTCTGGTAGATAGACACATACACACTATTTGAAGATGCCCACTACTTGTGTGGATCATTAATTAAAATAGATAAGACAAATTTTTGTTACCTTTTTCCCATATAATTGAGTGTAAATAGCTTCTTCGTCATATTCCAGTTCTTTTCCTTCCTCAAGAGGGAAGATTCATCTGTCGTTTAACTCACAGGTTCCCTCAGTTTTGGAAACTTTTCTGAAAATTGTCGAAAAGCATCGAGGGTTTCTCCGACATAGCAAACTACAGGATATCAGGCTTGCAAAGTGAAATTTTTTGAGCATGACGCCTTTAAGTCGGCGATGATTGTGAGTCACAGGACAAGAAAGAGACGCCTCATTACAAAGAAATGCTTGACATGCTACGACTTCGGACATTAACAACACAACTAGAACAGCACACAGATAAAAATTCATTTCGTTTTGTTTTTGTGGTCGACACTTTGCCTTCGGTGCGTATAATCAGCTTTTTAACAGCTTCGGGAAGATTTCGATTAATGTAAAAGGAGTTCGTAGACGTTTATCTAATATTTTCCTTTCCAATTATAGTCAAATGGACGGGCTAATTGAAAGGATGCTCTGAGAGCTGAATAACAGAATAATTAATATTGTAATCGTTGATTAAATGATAAAGAGAACTATTTGTCTGTGGCAAGTGTTAATTACGTCAGCCGTTTCTGTCGGAATAAACACTGAAATATATCATCTTATTCAAGGAATCAAAAATAAAAAACAAACAAAATGTGAATTTCGCCTTCCCTTAAAATTCAAATCGAGTTTATCAGTTTTTGTCATTTAAATATTCTGGTCAACTCTAGAAGCCTCATTGCCGTTGTGAAGATAATAACTTTCAGATAGACTCTATCAATTGCTATCATTCAAATGCTGTTGTGAACTGTAGAAGCTTCAATACCGTTGTTGAAATGGTAATTAGTATCCGGCAGTTTCTTTATAATTTATTCAGCATTTATTGTCCTAAAGAAAAACTCTCTTCGTAACCAACACTTATTTTCATAAATAAAACACTCTTTGTAGTAAACTACGCACAGCCAGTTACATTTGATTTGAAGATAAATGCTATTCTACTTCCAGTCATATCCTTAAGAAAGAAGCATCTCATCTTTCTAAACTCTTGGCATCTTATTGGGTTGTCGCAAATATGAACTTTTTTCTCACTTATCGCTATAACTTACATGTTAGCCGACTATCAGGATTCACCGTAAAATCTGTTATTCTGTGAACTTGGCATCCTACGGTAAGTACACAAACGCTAAGAATTGGCATTCTGTGTGATAAAGAAATTCTCAAAGAGAGCATTGAGTAGGGAAAATTTGAAGCATACCCAAGCCGGACTCTGAACTAATTTTAAATAGCTTATGTAAGCAATGCTATTATATTCATTCAGAGTATATAAGAGGGTCCCCAATAGGTTCTCGGGATCCGGGATTGGACCTTTTAAAGGCCGGGATCCGGGAATTTAGAGTAAGAGGAGAGCGAGATGCGGGATTGCTATTATGAACGGAACGCGGAAATCGCCGATTTTGAGGAGCGGGATTCGGGAAATAATCACTTCAAACGAACCGAGAACCGGGATGTCCGTTGACGGGAATGTCTGAAGAAATTGATCTTTTCAGTCTATGAGAAGCACCAGGCGCGCAGACTCACTAGCATTCAAGGGGCGGTCGGGCTGGTCAGTGAAACTCTTCAACCATTGCGCGGGAATGAAAGTTCTACGAGAAGCGGAGTTGTTAGTTTATCAATAATCCTCAGGGTAACGTGTTATCTAAGACTGCTGCGTCAATCGAAATGCCTAACGGACTTGAAAACCTCCAGCAAGTCTCAGAATTATGACACTCGTAACCTGTTGAGTTGCTTGGCACTAGACGGGGAGAATATTCGCTCAATTGTGCATCAAAAAGATAAACTTTTCACCGTGTTAGATTACGCAAGAAACTTTGGAAATGCAACAAAAGAAGGCTTAACGAGAGGAACCAATTGGGCGGCGTGCTATTTTTCAAATTCAAATTTTTGGTGTCCTCTACTCGAATGCGCTATGATCCTGTCGGCCATTCCCGTAATTTAACCGTTACCACCTGCACTGATGGCACCACAGAGCATACACAAGATGACGGGCTGGGCATAAACATTTGTTGCAGCGGCAAAAGTAAACACTGTTTTGTATTGTATCAGCGCTGTGTCAGATAGGAAACAACGATGGCAAGAGCTTTAACTACCCAGTTGTACCTCTATCAGAGAGAAATTCAGGCGGGGGGTCCGGTCAGCCTCGAACACTTTGACTTGGAGGGACAGCAAGAAAACAGCGGGAATCAAGACGAAGAGGAAGATGGAATATTAGAGTTCCACGAGTGATGATGGAGATATTTCATCTTTGGGACGAGAGGCTAATTCTCTCCTCGGAAGAGGTTCCCGCTTCAGAAGACGTATTCCCTTCAACAGCAAAATTGTGTTAATTTTTCTTTATTTACCTTGTTATGGAACGATGGGATTCCCGTCACCTTCTGTCTTTCATGCACTTGTTGACATTGCTATTCGTTTCTTTGATACTTAACTGTCTTTACTGATACGTTTTTGGTGCGTGATCGAAGTTAAACGGAAGGAAGTCGTTACCGTGACTAGCCTACCTCATTTGTGCTTTGAAAACTTCTTGAATGAACGATATCGTCATTTTGGTGAAAAGGGAGAAACTTACGTCTGACGGTGACCTAGACTTCAATGGATCAATGCTGGTTTAAAAAACCATCACCTAACGAAGAGGCCCTCTTACATTTAGGAAATGGATCAAGACAAAATTGCATGATCATCGATCATCGGGACTGGCCGGTATCAACCGTCGGGATAACGGGATTGAGAGAAAATTTTAGTCGGGATCGTGGAATTGAAGAACCCTTTTAGGGACCCTCATGTAAGCTGTCAAGAAATTGAAACAGGGCACGGCAGTTGATGCTAATAAAAGATAAGACCTATACGTAAAATACAAACAACATCTGCACATCAGAGAGCATTGTGGTATTTATGCAAAAGTGCCCGCTATTTCATTTCATGAGGATGGATAAAAACAAAATATACATCTAGTGTCCTTAACGTCGTCGCTCTAGTGGCGGTAGCATACCCATTTAGTAAAAATACGCCGACCGCTCCCCTTGATCACAATGGCTGCCGGTGTATCCATCGCAACAGGCACACTTCTACTCATTAGCAATATTCCTGCACAATCAACCCTTGAAACAAGGATTTTCTACACAGTGGTTAATGTCTGCGTAAAATAGAAGACTGAAATTGTCTTCGTCGGAATCTGATGTTGATTCAGAACACGAGACTCCAAAAGAGCATGTTCGTTCGTTTTTACAGGTGCGTTTTAATTTGGTGCCACTGATGCGGCGTTTCGCTTTTCCAGCATTAATTATGTCGGATATTAAGCTAAACTGTCAATAATTAACTAGCTAATCAGTCAAGCAGCAGTTGTACTTGGAAACCAAAATCAACGATCACATCGAGGTAGCAAACGAGGGATTAAATTACAATGACATTCTTCTTTTAGTGCTGTTATTCGGCTTCAAAATAAAAAGTAACAAGGAAAAAGCAACCATTTAATCTGTTGTTAATAACGATAATTAATTGGTGGATCAGTGAAGTAGCTGTTGCACTTTGTAGCCCACAAACAAGGATTACATCGTGTCAACAAAGGAGGGATTACATCGCAGTGATATTCTTGGTAAACTTCTCTTATTCGTCTACAAAATGAAAATAAGGAGACAAAACAACATAAGCAAGCACGCACAATATAGTCCCTTGCCATTTATTTCAATTGCCCTGCCTTAACCGTTAGACTCCCAAGATCTGATTGAAAATTCTTCCTTTTAGTTCCTATACTTTTACCAGTAAACATGCAAGTTCAGAAAATTTGGTCCTCTATCAGAAAAAAAAAAAACCTATCAGCTGATAGATTCATGTCATCTTTTCATGTGCACGTTCGCTGGATAATGTATTTCAAAATGAGCGCTGAAAAGAAGTTAAATGCTCATTAATTGAAAATTTAAAAAGGGATGCGATATAAAATGTTTGAGCTTTACTGCCATATTGCAATTACGTATGTGATCAAAACAATAACAAAACTCTCGAACGTGATTGGTTATCACTGGCTCGATTTGAGCACTAATAGGACAGTGTACGCGTCATATTTGTAATTATACAGTGTAATAGGACAGTTAAAGGGACAATTAACACGTCATACCAGCGTAAGTGGACAGAACACGTGATAAACGCGCGATTTTGTCTCGCATTTCGCCGATTTAACTCTTATTTTGTTTTTCTTTTAATAAAGACGTATAACCGATGTCCAGTCTCTTTCTCAAGTGTTATTACAGTTTTGATTAATTGATGACAGGGCTTCGAGTCGTCCAATTCTTTCTGGTAATCATACTCGTAATTGACAAATCGAACTCTTGCTTCGCGTCCGTCTGATTTTATTTATCACTTGTATGATGAGCGACCGTATTAAATTCCACCCAGTCCAATTACCTTTACAACTGGTCTTAGACCTGGGCACTACTCTTTAATGAAAACCAGTCCATTGCGCTGAGTTTCCCCTCTGCCCCACCTCCATTTCTCTCCCCCCCCTCCCTTGCCGGTACACTGATCCTTTGATTTCACTTGTTGGAAGGAGTCGTTGTGAGGGTTGAACGTCTCTGCGTAAAACTCGTTAACCGTTTAACTCCCAAGATCTGATTGTTGATTCTCCCCTCTAGCTGCTACACATATCCTTGCAAATTAGTCATGAGAAGTTGGTGTAAGATCAAGATAACTTCTACTTGATAAATTTGAATATTCTCAGCGCCTGTTTGCTGGATAATGTAAGGATATTAAAGGGAGAAGTTTCATGTTAATCATTTCTGAGAGTTAAGCACAATAATCCAGTCAGGGATAAAAAGTTCAACTAGTAACTTACTTTGACAAGAGTAAGAGTAAAGCTCCATTCTCATTCCGATATGGCCAAACCATTCCATCGGAAGAACTCGAACGAAGCGAGCATCAATGACCGGGTTAAGATCGTGATACACAACTGTGTCTCTGTCAGTGTTTCCTGGGAAAACCTGAGTAGAATATTGTGGGATGTAAAATTGACGAATGTATACATTACACAGGAGTGGTAACTCTAAACCTAGAACCTTAGTTGATGCTTTTCTAAATGTTCATCAGCAATCAAATACAAACATAGATAAAAACGAGTACAGTTTGATCTCACTAATGTTTTACTACTCGTTCCTTAGCGTTCTCATGTATCTCGACCTCGTCTCAGACCCACCAAAAGCAAAAAAAGAAAAGCTCATATTTGAACATATGATGGACCTCGTAATAGCTCAGCTGTCTGTAAGATCACTGTAGCGAAGTGTTGGTGCATTGGAGCAAAGAATTCGAAGGACTGAGATTCTTTTACTCTTGGGGACTCTTATTTTTTTTTCTTTGGTTCACCCTCACATCAAGAATAGAAGGAAGAAAACATCTTGCTCAAAAAGTCATTCTTATTTATACCGTGTCTGAAGTGTCTCCATTTCGCCTGTAGATACTGTAAGTTTGTCCATCGTCGCCATATTGTAGTTTGTATTTAGTAACCCACTGATCGTAATCATGTCTCCCCTGCGTCGCTATGCCTATTACCTTTGCGGTATTCCGAAGATCCACTTGCAGCCATTGGTTGGTGTTTAGCAGACCAGCTGCCCAGCCAGCAGATACAAACGGCAACGGGGCTTTGGCCCCCTTGAAATGTAATCTACCATTCTGTGGGCCATGTCTTTTATTATACACGGAAGATGCACTAATCTGCAAGTCAGTAATAACTCCACTTTCCATACCTAAGGGAACTGGGCCTTTTGGTGATTCTTCACCTGCATTTTGGACAGAGAAACTCAATCACACATATTGACAAGTTTACTACTAATGACTGCGGATGTTTTCAACGTTTGAACAGAAATATCAAAATAAGTGCAGATTATAGTTTCCATTTCGCCTCAAAGATCCAAATTAGAAAAAAATTTAACGGATAAGAACTATCCGAATGTTAAAAGACTCTGAACTTCGAGTGATGGTCGAGGTCGTCTCATACCCAGGACGATAATTATACCGCGGCACCTTAGGAGGATCCAGATTTTTTTGGATAGGGATTGTCATGTAAAATTCTTAGATATGTTTAAGGCTATCGCGTTCAAGTTTCGCAATGCTTTGGCGTAAGCACAGATTGCATTTGAAATTATGAATGAGTTTCATTTGGGAAAATACGAATCTTACACGTCTTGGGGTGTTTCTTATTTTCTTCATCTTTTCAGAAATAAACCTCGCAGTATTTTCCCGGGTAATCTTATTTTTTTAAACCACATTCGAGGGCTATGAAGGTAGCAGATAAGGTCCGGAAATGGTTCAGGGAGGGTCATGACGATAGGAGACTCCGCAAGTATTTACGGGAGGCCTCTTGACGCAAAGACAAGAGGAGACTGAGACGAGTAATTCCTCAGTGATGTAATTGCAAGATCTTAGACGGTAATTTTAAGAATATTTTATGTACTCGGCCCTACTTACATTTGCAGCTGACGAATTTAAATTCTTCCTTGAAAACCTGACAGTTGCGCTGCTAAGACATGAAAATATTCATTTTTTCTTATCAGGAAATCAATTAGTCATCTTGGTTAATCATCAAATAGAAACTCATCTATAAATTTTTAACCTAAAGCTAAAAACTACAATTTTTTCTCTCAAATTAATGTTACCCTCTTTCAGTCCACAAAATTATTTGAGAAGACTCAACACAATTGTAATTCTAAACATTATTGTACTTCGGAGGACTTTGCAAGTATCATTTCTCCAAAGATACCGAAAATTTGGAAAAAGGCCCATTTTATTTTTTAAGGCAACATTCGCAGTAACGCCGCTAATCATCCTCCACACGCGTTTATAAATAGAGATGAAAACCCGACATTGCACCATAGTATAACTAGACGAAAATCAATGGATAGACACATTACTAAGTTAAGACAAATGTTGAATTTTTTACTTCTAACGTCGAAAAGATAAACATTACCAAAAAGATGTCATGAATAAAATAAAATCTCAGGTCAGAGGATTTCGTGTTCTAATATTCCACTACCGCCCAACAGAGAATCCATCCGTAAGCTTATTCTCTTTCTCGTGACAAAGCGAAGATCGTGGCTTTTCCGTCTTTTTTTTAGATGTGTTCCGGTAGATAAACAGATATGTACACACTTTTTGAAGATGCCCACTTCATTGCAAGGATCAATAATTAAAATAGATAAGACAAATTTGTATTACCTTCTTGACGTATATTTGAGTGTAAATAGCTTCTTCGTCATATTCCAGTTCTTTTCCTTCCTCAAGAGGGAAGACCCCTCTGTCGTTTAACTCACAGGTTCCCTCACTTTTGAAAACTTTTCTGAAATTTGTTGAAACGCATCGAGGGTCTCTCTGACATAGCAAACCACAGGATATCAGGCTTGCAAGGTGAATTGTTTTGAACGTGAAGCCTTTAAGTTGGCGATGATTGCGAGTTATCACAGGACAAGAAAGAGACGCTTCCTTACAAAGAATTGCCTGAGATACTTCGATTTCAGATATTAATAACCCAACTAGAACACCACACAGAAAAAAATTCATTTCGTTTTTTTTCGGTCGAGACTCTGCCTTCGGTGTGTACACGCAGCTTTGTAAAAGCTTCGAAAATATTTCAAATAATTTATAAGGAGTTCAGAGACGTTTTTTTAATATTTTTCTTTCCAATCGTAGTCAAGTGGAAACGATGCTCTCAGAGCTGAATAAAAGAATAATTAATATTGTAATCGTTCATTAAATGTTAAAGAGACATATTTGTCCGTGCGAAGTGTTAATTACGTCGGCCATTTCTGTCTGAAAAACCCTGAAATATATCATCTTATTCAAGGAATGAAAAATAAAAACAAAAATAACTGTGAATTTCGCCTTCCCGTAAAATAAAAATCTAGTTTATCAGTTGTTGTCATTTAACTTTTCTGGTCGACTCAAGAAGCCTCACTGCCGTTGTGAAGTTAATAATTGATACTTAAATAAAATATCACATCCAATTGTTATCACTCAAATGTTGTTGTGAACTATAGAAGCATCAATGCCGTTGTTGAAATGGTAATTGGTATCCGGCAGTTTCTTTATAATTTATTCAGCACTTATTGTCTTAAAAAAAAACTTTCTTCGTAACCAACACATATCCTCATAAATAAGAGTAATAAACTGAAACGCGAGGGTCTCTCTGGCAAACCATAGGATATTAGGCTTGCCAGATGAAATAGTTTGAGCGTGAAGCCTTAAGTCACAGAAAGAATTCATTTGGTTTTTTTTTTTTCGGTTGAGACTTTACCTTCGGTGCGTACACGCAGTATTGTAAAAGCTTCGAAAAGATTTCAATTAATATAAAAGGAGTTCAGAGACGTTTATGAAATTTTTTTTCCAATTATAGTCAGAAAGGATGCTCTGAGAGCTGAACAACAGAATAATTAATAGAGAAAGATGTTTTTTCGTCTTGTCAAGAGCGTGGGACGAAAAAAATTTCAGAGTCCCCATGAGAAAACGAACCTCAGACCTTCGGGTTCCGCGCTCCAATGCTCTAACCACTGAGCCACAGAGACTCCGCGGTGAGCGAGGTCTATTATGACGTTCATATGGCACGCGTCCTGCATACTGCAAGGATCAGCCATGTCGAAAGCGTAATGTTTGTAGATAGAAATAAGAGAGATGGTAAATTTTCGGCGTTGCTGATCCTAGTACTCAGAATTTTTTCTTTTTTTCTTTGTCCCACGCTCCTGAAAAGACGAAAAAACATCTTTCTCTATTTCTTTACCGAGCTCAAAACTTATCATCTCTCTTATTTCTCGAATAATTAATATTGTAATATTGTAAAGGTAAGTACACAAACGCTAAAAATTCAAAGAGCCACAAGCATTGGTGGGGAAAAATTAAAGTATATCCAAGCCGGAAAATGAACTAATTTAAGATAGCTTATATAAACAATGTTGTTATATTCATTCACAGTATATAAGCTGTCGAGGAGTTGAAACATAGCACGGGAGCTCGTGCTGAGAACTAACACACTGAAAAGATTAGACCCATAAGTAAAATACCAACAACATCTGCATATCAGAGAGCATTTTGTGATTTCTGCTAAAGTGCGTGCTATTTCATTTCATGAGGATGGATGAAAACAAAATAAACATCTAGTGTCCTTGAGCATGAAAAAGCCGTCCACCCTCCTTGTTCTGAATGGCTGCCGGTGAATCCATCGGGACAGGTGCACTTGTACTCATAAGCAATATCCTTGCGCAATCCACCCTTGAGATGTCTGCGAAAAATAGAAGACTGAAATTACAGATACAGATAAAGACCTTTATTGAAGCTCCCTGAATCGGTTTTCAGCAAGAATACAAACAGTTAAAAGAAATAAAAATAAAATTAAAGAATGTAAAACTATAGTTACAGCTAAATATTTACATCAGAAGAATAAAAATAATGAATAATGAGGTTAACCTAATAGCAGCTTGTTACGAAAAATTGTTGCGTGCCTTGCGTGACTGTTAAGAAGTTTCGTGAGTATGCTTATTTAAGCTTAGAAGTTTCTTGAATATTTAATCAGTGTCGCATCACTGCGCATCAATAGTTTTTCAAGTTCGTGTAAAATGCTGTAAATAGTAAAATGTTGGAATGCTAATATAATTAGGTTGGCCGGAAAGTTCTAGAATCTCATGCTGTTAAGTATTTTAGCCAATTTGTGTAACTAGATCCATGACTGGTTTTTCACAAGCTGAGTAGTGTGACTAAGGTAGAGTTTACTCAAAAGTGTAACTGAGGTTGAGTTTAACGGCAGTTGAGATTATTTGAAGTTTGGCAGAGACTGTATATCAGTGTTTACTGTGACGAGTTGTTTCAGAGTTTTGCACCTATGAAGACTACGTACATCATGAATAAATCATCTTTGCTGCTGTTCCGACATCGTTCTGTTTAGCTACAGAAAATCATTTCCACTTAACGATCCTCGTAACACAGCTAAGTAAATTGAAACGTAAATTTCTTGAGACATTTTAAACACTTAAGATTGCTGCTTAATGAGTTACACAGTTTCGCTCCTCTATAAGCAAAAGATCTCTGACCAGTTGACAGACAGCAAAAGGGTATATCCAGGGTACTAGCTGATCGAGTTTGCCTGTCATGAACACAAGGACGCAGCTCAAACTCATTTGCAGGGTAGTCTGGAGCAAGATTATTAATGCACTTAAAAACCATAGTTGCATCATTCAATTTAAGTCTATCTTTAATAGGGAGCCAATTCAATGATCTTACATCGCCAGAAATCAAGGACATTTCGAGCCCGATAACAGTTATCAGCGGTATATCGTAATACACTCCGGAACAATCGAATATCATCTGCAAAGAAGCGTGTTTCGTACCATGACTTACACAATTTGAGCACCGCAGATCTTATAAGACCTGCAAGTAAATCTTTGGGGTTTTTCGAGGCAGAGCGATGACTGTTAGTTTCGAAACGGGTAACTTGTGTACTTTTCTGTTAGGTTTGTTCCGGTTTATTATTTCTTCGTTGGTTAATGATTATTACTTAATAAGTTTCTATTTCAATCAGTTTCATTTAAGCACATGTACCAGATATTGTATTTCATATTTCATCGCTATAAGTTGCTGTCGACGCCACCAATTTTCTCTGCTATTCATGTACGATCCGCTATCGGCGATTCATCTACAATCTTTAGGAGCTAGACCAAAGTAAGTTTTTCTTTATTTCACATTTAAGATATTTCCTTTTTTTTTTTGGATACGTACATCGATTTATTTCTCGCTTTCAGTTCACTTTATAATCGCTTCATTGTTAATTAGGCTAGTGTTACACTTCTCAGGGATATTTTCTTAGTTTAGTTTCTGCTGCATTTTCTTTTAGTTCCAACCACACATATTCAGCTACAACGTTACCATCAATCGTAACTACGCTATCTTCAACTTTACTTCGCCCTCTTCATCTGTGATTTCACACCGATCTCCTTATTTCGTTTGTAATTTTGATTGCGTACTTCATTTGATTAAACCATGATTTATGTTGTGCGTTCGGATTGTCTTCTCCGCTACAATAGTAACCTTTGAAGGTTACAATGACATGATGTCAGAATTTTGATTTGCTTTTATTAAATTTTCGCGCCAAGACTACTGAATTTGCATTTAACGCCTGGCATATTTTTATTCCGAAAAGGACCTGAGAGCTAATTTATTTCCCAGCAAGAACATAAACAAATATGGCCGATGATTCGTAGATCAGCGTTGCTCGTGTTTAACCATTTCAGTCATAGTTTTCAACATGGCGTCTCGTCACTTACTCAACATGGAAAATAAGGGATATTCTGGCGCGTTGGGAAGTTTTTTGATGGGAGGAAATGACAATTTTACAGGATATTTTGACGCTTCGAACTCAGTAGCAGTCAATTCGATCGAGAGCAGTTGACTTCATTGCTGCACTTTCCTGTAATAGGCGAGTGTTTGGGATGGAGAACGATGGATTTTGAAGAACTGTATGGCGACTTAGGTCAATGAACAATGACAAAAGAACTGGCTCGGGAAGTAAGTTATTTTTATTTATCGAGTCACTGTGAGGTTTGATGAATAGCAGAATCAATACTGAATATGTCTCGATCGAGAGCAGACGGGACTATGAGCTCCTGATTGTTATATTTTAGAAATTTTACAAATTTCCATACAGTTTCCTATGTTATTTGGACGCCATTATGGGCGAAATGCGCAAGCGCGCCCGCCATCTTGTCCAATATTTCTGCCAATGGTCCTTCGGAAATATGGTCATATTTTCTAAGTCTCCAAACGATTCGTCCAGCAAGTTTTGAACTTTTTGTAATTTGTCAATGTTGCTATTGCTGGTATTGCTCCAGACGCTTGAGCAATACAATAATTTTTTAAAAACGAATGCATTCATAAGTAGCGACAGCGTTTTCCTATCCAAAAAATGTTTAATTCTATTGATTTTTTTTAACTTAAATAGACAGTTGGAAACACTCTTAATAATATGTTCGTTACAACTGAGGTTTGCATCCAGCTGAACGCCTAGGTCTTTGGCGACAGTCTCAGTTGATATTTGTTCATTAAAAAGTTTTAGTTTGAATAGTGGAAGTCTCCGCAGTAGTTGTGGTACTCCAAATATCAGAACTTTGGTTTTACTTGGGTTGATCAGAGGCGAATTTTTACAGCACCATTGACATATTTTTCTAAGATCGTCGTTCAAGGTAGAAATGGCCACGATTGAGTCGGCAGGTGAAGGAAAGGTACAACTTGCAGTCGTCGACATAGGAAGCAGAAATACAACGCTCCGGAACAGAAAGAAGGTCATCAACATAAATAGTAAACAGGACGGGGCCTAGAATAGACCCTTGTGGGACGCCAAACTTAAGAGGGAGTGTTTTAGAAAACGTAGAAACTGCATCGCCTATTCGAACACTGTTTCCGTTCTGATTTACGGCCAAAATATTGTTGTTAGATATGTACTTGAACGTGTTGGTAGTGAAAGGGGGTTATTGTCGCAAGTGTGAAAGGAAGGCTGTTTTTTAATATTCTAGAAGATATTT